TGGGGTTTAGCTGCCCTCCTCTGTGAGTAAGATTGCTCAGGCTTGCATTGATCTCATTTTTAATTAGAATCCTCTTTGAGATGGAAAATATCAGAGCAGATCTATAGTAAGACAGGGAACTTCACTGCCAGAGGGTTTTCAGATACCGCCTTAAAAAAAAAAAAAAAAAGAAAAAAAGCTATTTCTAATCCTTAAAATATTTGCCTTGCTTTATTTTCATATCTTGAAGACAAACAGGTGCTGTGTGCCCTTTATGATTCTCAAATATACAATCTCCAAGCCAGCAGTCTCCAAAGCCTTCCCTTGTTTGTACAATTAGGGTGGGATTTTCAGAATCACTCAGTGTTGGTCTGTCTGCTCTCATTGAAGTCAAACTGCTATTGACTTCAGTGAGAATCGTGTTAGATCAGCATGAGTGCTTTTGAAAATCCTTCCCTCCACTTTTATTTTTAGTCACATCTGTGTACAATTGAGTAAAAAGACGTTTGTAATATGCTTTAATTATTCTTTGTTGTTTTCATATAAAAGTGATTTAAAAGAAACCAGAAGGAAACCTATAATAATCTTGACTTTGATCTTATTTACCATGAATTATATGTTATGTTTTTCTTCTCCATTTATGTAATTATATATTACTTTATGACAATGTAAGATAAATCACTGAAAACATGAGGAATAGAAATAATTAGGTAATACAGAGAGGAAGAACAGTCTCAGAGGAAAGTACTTGATGCTTCGTGGTCTGGTGGGTTTCCAGTGTTGCTTGAAGCTACTTTCTTTTGGCTGAATGGGAGAAGCAGGAGACTTCATGTGAAAGGCTGGTGCTGAAACCTGATGAATTTGGAGGCTGCATGGCCAGCTGGGAGGAGTGACTTTCTGGATGTCACCTTCCCAGGAAACTGCAAGTTATTGCCCAGGTATGCACAGTCTGCTCTGCCATTGTGCTTTCCACAGTTTTGGTCCACGTGCTCCTCCTTGATTCATGCACCTTTTTGGTTTCCAGCATGTGTTTCAGTGGTGTTTCTGGTTAACTGTTTGCTCTTGGGAAATACCAAAGAAAACCATAGAGAATCAGAGCTTTCTGTAGCTCGGGAATTGGGAGAACGCAGAGACACCTAATTCAACAAGATCAATATTTGCAAGATTTGCCCTGTACAGCCTGGCTTCTACCTCTGGCTGTAGATATTCATTGAAGTGCTCTAGAGGGGCATCCAGCTGTAGTGATTTTTATTTGCATCGTATTACTGTTTGCTTGGGTCCATAGCAAGAGTTTTTAGCTGAGGAGGAGCTTTGGCCATCACCTATAGCTCATCTCCACCTCCCCATGTGATACAAATCGGGGGATTTTGGAGACCATCAGGAGGAGGTGACTGCTTCACTCATTAGTGCTGAAAATTTACCTGAACTGCTCTTCTGGGAGGCTTTGAAGAGAAATATGTAGATCCAGAGGGCAATTCTGTTGGCAAAGAACACTTGGAAGCCTCCTTGGATTCAGGGGTGGATTTGCAGTGGGAGAACCTCAGAGTTACATTGAATAAAATTGTCTTCTAATAGCAAGGTTCCATTCCATCTTTAGACTCCTGGGATTGTCAGTTCTGCTGTAAATACGTGTTTAGCATTAGAGTAAAATGTTATGTCAGTGCATGGCACACTGGTTGCCTGTTTCAGTTGCTGCTGTTTCCACCACATGTCATTGATTAGAGCTGGGCCAGCGGCCAGGCTGGTCCTTGATACACTCGAAATCCAAAGTAGTCTATGAAAGATGCTTATTAGCTGAAGTGTGGCAGATCTGTTTGATAAACTCTACAGCATATTGTTCCTCTTAGTGCACTCTGTTGGTGTTTTCATGTGAACAGGAGTAAAGGTGTTGGACTGTTGTAATTCAGTAGATGTGATCTCTCTTGCAGGACCATGCATGGCAAGTGCAGCACGTGCTCAGGGCTCCACTGGCCTCATTAACTGAAAATTGTCAGGCCACTCTCTGAGAAACTAAATTGGCGGTCTTGGTGTTCAACACCCAGAGGGAGACTCCCCAGGAAATGGTGACTGCCCAAAGCTGCCATAGCTCAAGGACTGCTAGGACAACAGTCTCAGGCACAGAGACGGGTTCTTGGGATGTCTGTGCAGAGGCAGCAGTTGGGCTTGGTAATTGTTGTGGGTCCCTTCCCACTCAGGAAGGAGCAGAGGCAGAGGCACTGGACACACTGTCCTCTTGCACTGTCAATAGTCCTGAAAGTGCCACCATCATGTAATCTGCAGCTGCAAGGTGTTGATACAGAAATCTTGGCATAGTCTAAATAAAAGTATTAGTCTGTGAGCCCTCCGGAACGTCTGAGTGCTCAGCCACCTTCTGCAGGCACTGCTGGTTCCAACAGGTAGTTTGAAATTAGGCATTTTTTAACATTTCACATATAAACAAAGTGGAAACCAGTCTAAAGAAGCTGAAGGACAGAAAGGCCATGGGAGTAAACAGCTCTGAGCAGTAATGTGACAGCTATGCTAGGAATTGTGAGATGCTTAAGATATAATTACTCTATATTAATGAGATGAGATCTACACAAAAAGCATGATGAACCTGCCAGAGAAATAAACCACAGAGTACTGGCTAGCCTGATTTTTTTTTTTTTTTTTGCCATTGTCATGTTTTAAATGTTCATGCATGCTGATTAAAATTTAGGTTAGGTTCTTGAGAGCTGTTGCCAAGTTTTGTCACTCAGGGCTTTTTAGATGGTGTAGATTTAACCCTCAGTCTGCCCTTTTGGTGGCCAGTTTCCCAGATACTGAGGGCAGATAATATTCTGCCATGTCCAGCTGAACTGGTGCATTCAGACTTCCTGGGGAAAAAGCCTCTTGTGTGCTTCTAAAGTATTTATTTATCTAGGCTTCATCTTACTGAATTTACTGTTTGCTGAAACAGGCAGGACTCTGTTGGCCTGACATGAGATAATGTGTTTGACTTCACTCTTTCATTCTTATGGAATGATATTTGAGATGCATGGCTTTTTTCATTTTTTCAAGAATATCAGGGGAAAATAATTTCAAATGGAGAGAGAATTTTGCTGAACATCTGGGAGCAAAATGAGGAAAGTTTGATAAATGACATCTTGCTGACATGGAATAGCAGCTAGCTCAGTGAAGGAATCTAGGGCATTGCAAGTAAAAGGATTTTTTTAAGTTTAGTGCCATTGGAAGTATAGCGCCATGCTGTATACATGTGCTTGACAGTAACAGATTATTCAAATTGTCAGATTTAAAAAAGCAAAAAACTTCAGTCTGAAGTCATGCAGTAGTCTTAATTTCAGGAGCAGCCGTGTCTGTATACAATAGACACAGACATTTTTTGACTACTTAAGTCAGCAGAGGAAATTATTGTTAAAAATTTATATTCTGCTCAGAGGTTGATTGCTGTATTAAATATATGGAAATATTTGATACACTAAGCATGGCATCATCAGTTTATATTGATAACCCAACTGCATAAGTTTAAATTCTTACAGGTCTTGACTACTCAGCTACTTCTTCATTTTAGCCATTTTGTGTCTGAGACACATTGAGTTTAAAACTTGTACGTTATTTTGATTTTTTCCATTGCACACAGATACCTTTATGTATAAGCTTAAATACTGTCAAATAAGCACAAAGCTCTTCACCTGCACTGTTTTAAACTGGAAGTAACTCAAGGCAGTCAGACCTTTGCAAGTAGAAATAAAACCTGTGACTTACAAAAAAAAGTAATCGTAGCCCAGATATTTTCTGGTGAACAGACTTTAGCCCTACAGAGGTTTTTTTCCCCCTTGTATTGCTCTACCAGTCTGATGTCAAATGTCTTTTTTTCCTCCGTTTACCATAATTGCCTCTGAAATACAACAATGAAACAAACCATTAGCAAAACACTGAGCTGTCAGAAGCAATCACTTGTTTCAGATCCAAGTGAGGTGCTTTACTTGATCCGAAGAAAGTTGTGTCTGTATCCTATAAAGGTTCTTTGTGAAACATCCAACACTTCCAGTTTAGTGTTGAAGTTGAGACCTGACCTGTCCTTCTGGCGTGAGTTTTCCCATAGGCCATGTTTGAAGTCAAATTGGGTTGTGACATTAAATAACACTGTATGGTGTGTTCACTCTCTCCTGCTCCAACTGGAGGCTCAGAGCAGTTCCTGTAGCGTTTTACAAGAGTTGCTTGATTTTGGGGTGGGTTATAGGTTCTGGCAAGGTAGGTGATACTGGAAAAACCTTACTATTTGTCTTTTAAAGACCAGAAGGTCTTCAAAGAACATTTGCAAGGACAATTTGTATTAATATAGAACTGTGATCTATATCATCATTTTCTGGAGAAAATGAGTCTCAGGGGGGACCTTCTGGCTTTGCACAACTCCCTGACAGGAGGGTGCAGCCAGGTGGGGATTTGGCTCTGCTCTCAGGGAACAGGAACAGGGTGAGAGGAAATGGCCTCAACTGGTGCCGAGGGAGGTTCCAGTTGGGCATTAGGGAAAATGTCTTCCTTGGAAGGCTTGTCAGGCTTTGGAAAGGGCTGCCCAGGGAAGGTGGTGGAGCCACCATACCTGGAAGTGTTCAGGAAACCTGTGGATGTGACATTTGAGAATGTGGTTTAATGGTGAACATAGTGGTGGTGCTGGTTGGACTGGATGATCCTAAAGATCTTTTCCAACCATAATGATTCCATGATTTTCATGTGTGTATGCAAATGTATATCTAAAAGATGTGTCAGACCTGTTGAGAAAAGAACTTGGAATCAAACTGTACTTCAAATGATGAACTTTTGGGTGCAAACGCTTTTTGTTCTCTGGGTGATTTTCTTTCTAAGGGGGTGCCAGAAGAATCAATGAGAGCTCCATAAAACCCATTTACTCTTTTCCTTGTATCCTTGAACCTTCAAAAGGAGAAACTAAAGCACCTGCAGATGCAGACAGGACATTCCATGTGTGGCATGTTTTCCGGTATCCTTTCATTCTGATTCTTCCTTTCTTTTTTTAATTACAGTTCTTTGAGGTTCCGTTTGACTCAAATATGAACAGGACTAAAAACAGACCACTGGTGCGAGGACAGATCAGGTAAGGCAATGCACACCTGCTCTGGCTAAGAAGGAATGAACCTTTTATCTATTTCCAAGTTTCTCTCCCTCTTCAGATGACGAAAAGTAGCACTTCGAGACAGAACATTTAAGAGAAATGCACTTCTTTGTTCCTTGCTGTTTCTTCATGTTTATAACTTCCGTGTGAGCAGTTTGGGCACTCACAGCTGTAAAATACTGAATTTCTCAATACTGTAGAATTTCCCTTCATATTACATATTTCTTCATGTATAATGACTCTGTGTATGGTGTGGCAGCATGCAGTTATGTTCCACTGAACTTTTATTTTGTAATAATAAATCCTAAAATTTTCCCATCTAAGAACAACCACAAAAATGTGTGTTGCTTCTACATCTTTAGTTGGTTAAAAACTCATTGTGGCATCTTAGGAAATTGATATAAAATTTGTTATCATAAAGTTTATCATAATTTACAAGTAAATTCCTCCCCCCACCAAAAAAAGTCCTTCATTAGCATAGGAATTTCCTTTTAAAAAGTCCTCAATTCCCTCTGTTTTCTGGATAATGTATCAGTTTAGTTTCTCAAAGGCTGTTTGGCAACTAAAAAAGCAAAGTGAAAAAGAACATCAATAAAAATCCTCTAACTTATTTGCAAACTGAAACTGAAGGCCCAATTCATAAATGATTCAACAAACAATTTTAGTATTACATTTCCATGATTTGTGCCAAAGAGTATTTATAACAAAATTATGTTTTCCCTTAGGCTTCTGTGAACAGTTGGTCCTATTTATTTCTGTGTTTTATCCATCACCTTTGGAGGACTGAAAAAAAACATGATAGATGAAACTACAAGAAAATTGAGACAAAATACTCAAGTGAACCTTGGGGGTAAATTCACTCTTGTGGTAAATAGTTAGAGCGCTTCAATAAACTTGTTCTGATTTGTTCTCAAAGGTGGTGCTAATTGCAGATTTCCAAGTTAATTTCACTTTAAAAATATTTTAAGGACCACTGCAGCGAGAGCATCTTTTGGATATACAGTAAGCCAGGCTTAATTGTGTGGTTCAGGGGACTTGCACTTCTGCCTCCCTTGCATGTGGTCCTTACATTGTGGGAAAAGAAACACTTATTAGGAGGAAAAATGATGGGGGGATTTTCTTTTTATTATTGTTATTTTATTTTTATCATGGTCTGCTAGCATGGCTTGCAGTGCTTCTGGAGTCAAAAATATAACTCAGAAACTTTCTGTCAACTTCTGATTCAGAGAAGGCAATTTATTTTATGTTTCCAGTGTCCATAAGTGAACTTCACTGTCATATGAATGCACCACAAATTGGCAAAACCATATTTCATGGATTTTCTTACTTCCCCCCTTTCATATGTGCTTTCACCACAAAATGGTAATGTTGGGGACATGGGGCAATCACTCATCAATCTGTCTACCTGCCTGTCAACAGCTAATTTAAAGTTCTTTAGTGTCACTTCCCTTGAGTGATGCTGCTCTTGCTCCCTGCAGACCGTGGAGTACTCAGACCTTGACTGGGGTTATTTCTTCTGTAGTGTGTCAGAGGAGAATAAACCAACGCACGTAATCTAACCTTGTTGTATTTTGCCACATATTTCTTGCTGTTCCTTGAACTCTTACCTTCCTGGCTGATAAAATAAAACCTGTAAATGGTTATGCTAAAACCAGTCAAAACCAGACAATAGAGGGATGGACATATAGTACATAAGAGACTGGTGTCTTGGCTCTGGGAAACAATTCAGAGAGTTTGGGGAGTTCTTGCCCAAAATTTGTCTGACATTTCAATGCTGACATTTTCTTCTCTTTAGCTGCTTAATTTAGTGAAACATTTGCTGCTTTTTAAATTCTGCTGTGTTACAACATCTGTGCTATCCAGTGCAAACAAGACATAATTTTCTAATCCATCTTCATTTGCACTCTTTGTAAATATATTCTCTTTTTTTCATGCTTTCCTTGCTTTTTATTTATTTGGCATAGTTGTTGTTACAGAACTGGACAGTATGGGTAGTAGTTTTTGCCCTGAGCTTAAGATCCCTTTTTAAGAGAGAAGGCTGTTAACTCTCCGTCATGTTTGCTCTGCACCTCCTTGGAGAGGCTTTCAGTGGTGGCTTTGATGTGACTCCTGCACACTGAAAACTGCACTGAGGCCACTGAGAGTTTTTCTAGAGCTTGTGTCATCACAAAGAGAATTCTTACATGCTTTGTATGTACTGCAATCAAACTGGTAGCCCCAGTGAGGTTCTTGGAATTACTGAGTCATGCAGTCCCTGGATGAGCTGGTGTCTCCATTTTAAATAAGACAGTTCACAGAGGAGGCTCATTAGGAAATGTTAAGCTTTTGTAGAGAAATTATTCCCATGTGTTCTGCTTTGTGGCCTCCACTTGCAGCTTCAGCCCCCAGTTTGTTCAGGGTTAGGACCAGCTGTCCATTCTAAGTGATCTTGCTTCCAACAACATTTCTCCCCTTCCCTTCTGCTGGCAGCCTTCACTTTGAGAAAACACAAGTCCCTCTCAGGGGATAATTTCTCTGCATACGCATTCATGTGGTTCCCAAACCCCCACATGTCACCCTTTTCTGTGAATTGCTGAGGACTGGAAGTTTCCTTTGGCATTGATGAGGAACATCAGTCAGTAGCTTTCAGAAAAAGGCTCTGTGGCCCAGGCTGCACTTTGAGGTGTGGACACCTGGCTGGAGACAGTATTGTTCTCTTACTGGTGATGTTCAAGAAGTAAGGGCAGTTGGGCAGCTTTGGCCTGTCCATCATTCCCTGTGAGCCAGGAGCCAGTTTTGCAAAGATCTCTGGAAGGATGAGGCTTTTCCTCCGTCCTTTGTGAAGTCTCTGTATTGCATCGTCTTGATGGCCGAGAATTACTTAGTGGCTCAGTGTGCCCCTGCTTTATATTTTATATGTTTGGGCTGGACAATCCATAAAGGCAATGGCACAGATGGTTCTGCAGAGAATGTAGGGACAAGACCACATTTACCTTATTTGCCAGTCCCCACCTCTGGTGCCCCCAGGGAATCTTCTGACACTGTTGGGAGATCTGTGGCAAACAACACAGATAGTTTATTGACTCCTTGCTTTGCAATGTTCTGTTTAATTTGTAAGACTCTGAAAAAAATGTTCCCTTTGAGCCATGAGATGTAACCATCCTTATTCTCTATTCAGAGAGTAATCAGAGACATCCTGTTGCAAAACCAACAAGAGTAGCCCCAAACACAGTGTGCCACTGAGTGCCATCCATCATCCTGCCTGCCCACATCTTCCTCCCTCTTCTGACCCTTCAAGTCTTGTTTGGAAATGCGAACAGCTTGAAATGTTCTTTATACTTGGACTGCAGTGTTAACCTCATTGAGCATATTTGTGTTCTGCATTATAATAACAGCTGATACTGTTTCCTTCTATGAATTTATTTTGTGTCATTGATGAGGAATAATTTCACATGCCCACACAATCTTAGGTTTGTCTGAAGTGGCAGCAGCTTTTCATGATTTCCTGTTGGGTGTGATTTATTCCCTTGCTTTTTAAGGTAATGGATTTAATTTTCCTGCAGATTAATTTTAACAAATCTCTGGTATGAGCTGCAGTAGGTGAGTGAGATCAGCCTCAAGGGTGACAAGTGTCCTGCTCTGTTATGTTGTGCAAAGGGACAGGTTTGATCACCCTTTACCTGCACACACTCCTTCTGAATATTGGCAGTTATATGAATTTAGAGTACTGCTGGATCCACTGTGCTAATCACTCATAAAGACTTCATAGTTGTACAAGGATAGTCTCTCATCTTAAGAAAAAAAGACCTCGAACAGTATGTTCTAAATAGCCAATTCACGACCGTGTAGACATTGTTCAATTCTGCTCCTGCGCTACTTTGCAGCTTACCGCTGTTTTCTGTACCCAGTCCTTTGGCTTTGCACTCAGCAGTGGCTGCGTGGAAGTGGGCCTGGGGCTTCTCCTTTGCTTACCTGGACCATGAAGCATTATACAGCTACCTTAGAGGCTGGTCCAGGCTGAAAGAGGCCTCAGGAGAGATGAAGACTCATCTCTTGCTCACAGCAGTCTCAGCTCTGAGGTCAGACCTGGTTCCTCCAGGTCTTGTCTCAAAACCCTTCAATATAATGGCTTCAAACTGCAAAAGAGTAGATTTAGATTAGATCTTAAGAAGAAATTCTTCCCTGTGGGGGTGGGGAGGCCCAGGTCCAGGTTGCCTGGAGAAGCTGTGGCTGCTCCCTGGCAGTGTCCAGGACCAGGTTAGACAGGGCTGGGGGCACCCTGGGACAGTGGAAGGTGTCCCTGCCCATTGAAGGGTTTTGGAAAGAGATGAGCTTTTTGGTCCCTTCCAATCCAAACTATTTTGGGATTCTATGACAAAACTAACATGCTGTGGAATTTATTGCTATTCTCCTTATGCCCGTGTAAGATGTTTAAGTCTATTAAAATGGCAGCAGGCAGCACAACACAGCTAATGCCTTGAATGCTTCAACAGAAATAAGTCTTTGTGTTGTTTGATGAATATTTTTTCCAAGAATTCCATTAACCTTTTCCCTTAGCAATGCCCAAGAGCTGTGTTCTGTCTGTGAGCTTTCCACTTCTCATGTTCACAGCTGATGGTTGCTGCGGTTAATGGAGACAGTAACACTTCTACTTATTGATGTTTCTGAGTGGAGTGTTGACTTGGCTCAGTTTGAGCTATAAACCAGACTCTTGAAGAATCAGACCAAAAAGGACCTCCTGCGCTAGTACTGTTTCTCACCAATGGCTTATATTTGTGAATTCTAGTCACAATTGCAGATATGGAAGTTGGATGTTCGTAAACTAGTAGAAAGCTGCAACATGTGAAATTTTATTTGTTCAGAAGCATGTTGTGACTCTAGACTATTTCTATGTAACACCGAGTTTTCCACTCTGCTGCCTGTAGCTGACCGACTATTACAAGTTTAACAAAACCAGTTCACGCTGAAAAACTGTGTGCATTTTAAAATTATAAATTTGTCCT